TCCTCGTGCTGAGTCCTACGGAACACGTGCGCAGCACCAACAGTGCGTATGAGGCAAAGTATAAGACGAACCTCGTGGGTGCGATGGAAGCTGAGTTTTGTGGCGATGTGAAGCGCGCGATCCTGCTTCTGGTGTGGTCGGTGCTGGAGTCAATGAATCTGTTTGCAGAGCTGTTTGAGTCGACCATACTGGGTTGTGGTAAGAACGCGTAGAACCTGAATGGCGGTGCGGTAATACCACCTCCTTATGCATATTCGCTTCGTATATCCGCGCTTGTACCACCAGGAACTGCGCGCGTATCCGGGGCGTCATAAGTGGCGAGTACTGCGAGTTGCTTCTGTCAACATACTACCCGGCTGCAGTTTTACTACCTGTACCAACAATGAGCTCTTCGATACGACCCGTAATCATTATAAATGCGTCATTGTCAATCTTCCCGCAGTCTCCTGAGTGTAGTCTACCGTCCTCGTCAATCGTTTCTTTTTTCGTCTGCTGTTCATCCTTCAGGTAGCCCATCATGATGTTGCGAGCGATGAAGATTAACTCATCCGTGACTGGCGCCACCTTGGTCTCCGCGACGTCAATAGTAATGCGGCACGTGACAATCTTCCACTTTCCCTGCATGCTGCACGTCTGCAGACTGCTTACTTCGCTCATACCAAAGAACTCATACACCCGTAGGTCCGAGGAACCGCAGTGTTCAGCAATTTTGCGACTAATAGGTGCAACATCATTGAAGCTAGCAGCAACGCATTGGTATAAGCCAGGTGCCTGGTCTGGAATTGTTACAAGAAGAGTAGTTTGACTTGACATATAGTCTTGAAAATACCTAACCATAGCTGTCAGATTCAATACGAATGCGTCTGATTGATTGAAATGCTCTTATCTTTTGTAACAACGAAACGGAAAGCGTCTTGACAAGACGTCATGATGATGATGGAGAAGATATGATATTCATTCGCAGTACTTTTAAAGCTAGTGTCTACGTTCTTGTAACATCACGTACAAGAAGTGTCGGTAGTCTAAAGATACAAGCAGAGAAAGGTATTGTAAGGGCGAAAAAAAAGACCCAAGCGTTAACAAGTAATCGGATTCATTGGAGTTAATGTGTTGAAAAGTGCTATTCAAAAACTTACTGTTAAACACTACGGTGCTTATGCGCTAAAGTTAAGCAAAAATGTGCTCTATAAGCAAGAGTTGAACATTGGGTGCTTTATAAGCTAGTGTTAACATTACGGTGCTTGTGAGCAAGTATTACACACTTATATGCCCAATCACTTATAAGCAAGTGTTGGGAACTCTGAAATGCTTCAAAGCAAGTGCTAGGCACTTAAATGCTGTAAAAGCAAGTGTTTGTAAACACTAAGGCGTTTTACTACCAAGCGCTAGGCACTTAGCGCTTATAAGCAGGTGCTCAAGGAGCAAGTGTCAGAACACTAAAGCTTTGTTCGCAAGTGCGAGGCACTTATTGCAAGGCAAGCAAAATGGGTAGAAAATAAAAATTGATGAGTCCCAATAAGTTCGAGAAAATCGTGAGTACGTCGGGTCCCACAGATTGGTGGAAGGGTGTAATAGGGTTACACGAAGGTGTGTAGTGTACATAAACACTTGCCACACCAATGTGGTGTGGCTATACCTTGGGTACAAGAGAATGCTTGATGTGACCGTACCTGACGTACGAAGGGTCGCATCGTGGTAGAGAGCCACGTGGTAACCATACTTCGTGAAGTATGTTGACTTTACATGTTTACATATTAATAGGCTACAGAGCCAGTAAATAGTGACTAGCACTAAGTATAGAGTAGGTGCTTCTATATTTGGTGTTAGAAGATAGACATAAATATAAATCAGTTCAAACATGCTCTATAAGCATCACTGCTTGAGCTTTCTATTCATTCTGAGGATTCGTATCTTTGATACTAGTCTCTTTGAGACAAGGTTATAACAACCGATAGGCACAAGCTCTAGGAGGGTTTAGCACCCTAAGACGGAGAAGCTCTCTGAGCTTGTCTTCCTCTGCACATAGTGCATAAGTAGCCTGGCTACAGTAGCTCGGCTACATGAGGCCTTCGAGGTAATAACTCGATGGTAGAGGAAGCCATTTCGACCAGTTCCACGGGTTAGCACTAGACCAGCGAGCAAAACGCCTACTGCAATGCGCACCGCTAGTTGCAGACGGCGTATAAACACTCGCATCTCTTTTGGATGCTTGTTCTTTTTTACACGAGCGACTCGTCGACGGTCTGCTCCTGCATCAGATAAGGACAAATTAATAGGTGCTCGTTCTTTCGAAGACGTAAGCGCATGGACTGTGATTGAGGCGGTGGAGATTGTATATTCACATAAAAATCATTGGTGGTCGTGGTCGACGATTTTGGCATTTGAGACGCGTTTGAGTCGATCGAAACACGGACATTTATTGATGAAATCAATGAATCATCATGGTCGGATGTACTTGAGTCTTTTGAAAGAGACTTTGGGTGTTGCATATGAAGCGAAATCGAACAATGAGATTCCTAATGTACTTCTCATTTGGAATTCGTTTGCGATAGCAGGACGTCATTTCATCGAGCGACGTACGTATACGCGCGTCAAAAACTGTCACATCTGCTTGACCTATGACAGTTTATGACACCTGAGATGGAGTTAGCTTTCACAGGGCTGATTCTCAGCTATTTAACAATCAATATCAACATCAAAACGATTCAAGCAAAGATCGACATACACAGGGTGTTAAGAACTACAAAAACCGTTTGAGGTCTAAAATCAAATAAAGCTAAACCACCATACAAAATATCTTGATGATGAGAAAAATGAGATAAACGCAATGTTTTCTCACTTTCTAATGCGCTGGAAGAATGAGTGAGTGATCTATCGGTGACCTTCGAGATCAATTATACAATGCGTGTTACCGTTTTTAGACGATACTCGTCGTCGACCACGCACGTCAAGGTATTCGGCCAATATCATTTTTCAATCAAAAAACTAGATCAATCTACGAAGCACGTGCAGAATCACCATGGAGCTGCACTCATAGTTCTAGAAGCTGACGAGTTCGTGAAAATTGTCTTGTTCTCATTTCCTTCCTATCTAAGGCATTACACTTTACGAACTACACTGTATAGACCAACAAAAATTTGCATCGTATGGTCTCATAGCCCCAAGGTGGCAATCGACTTGAAAACCAAGTGACTAAATTTATGTCGAAACCGCAAAAAACGTGGCGTCCATTAATCAGTCATGTGTGTAACAGCAGTAAATTTTGACTAGGTCATCCATAATAGAGTATAGTAAAGTTTATAACGTCGATCCTATGTCTTTCTAACGCTGGTCTTTGCTTTGAAACATTCAGAGAAAAAGAGATGCAGCAAAATAACTTGATTCAAACGATATTCCATCACCAACCCCGGTTCTAACCGATTCTTTCACAAATCTAACCCATTCTGTTACCTTTAACTAGCAAACATCAGCCATTTGTTGTTATTTTTGAGGATGTGATTCCACCAAAAGACGTCAGCTCTTACTTATTTTATATACCTCAAAGTTAGGAAAATAGGTACAAGTTGTTGCAAATAAAAACGCACCCAATCAATCAATCAATCAGCCAACACGACGAGCTATTTATTATGTGTCCAAATAGCTCAAAAGCTCCAAATAAGCACAACTCATTCATTAATAGGATGAATCCAGTTAATACAAACTCTGAACACTCGTCATGGAAGACGGGAAATCCAAATCAAGCGCGTGACGCCATTTCATGGCACGCTTATACGAGTGGGTTAAAATCCGGTGCCATTACCGCCGTCTTTGCTGCTGCCATGGTGGGTCTAAGTAATAAATATTGGCCGGCATTTCGCAACCGTTTGGGTGTTAGCGGTAAGACGGCATTGGTCGTGTCGCCATTCCTAGGCGCTTTTACGATTGTGGCTGAAAACCGTTTGATGCACGGGGCTCGGAATCCCGAGATGTATATGGCTACACTTGAAGGAGGCTCATATATGGCACCGGAGAAGAAGGCGTCGCAGCTCAAATTTTGGCAGAAAAGCGCCAACTTTCTGTACGATCACCCGTACCGTGCTCTGGTTACGGTAGGTGTACCACTAGTTGGTTGTATCTACAGCTATCAGCACTTAAACAAAGGCATTTCACCTTCGCAGCAGATCATGCACACACGTATTTATGGCCAAGCTTCGGTAGTTGTGTTGCTACTGAGCTCTATGGCTTTCCATGATTATATGGCCAAGCGTGGCAAGTTCACGATCGAGGACAAGGAGGATTAGAGAATGCTGATTGAAGATCTGATGAGATGTGATCGTCATGGCGGTGTCGTGCGATCAGTTTGGTTCTGCTTTTTATATCAATATTACCTCATTCTCTGGTAGATTTAAACTTCCAACTTGCAACAAACATCAAGCGTTCTTTCTTACTGTGCAGTGACAGAGTTGCATGCTCTTTTCGCGACTCTCAGATTATTGGGACATGATACCCATAGTTGTGCTGCGATTACATTGTGGCCAAATGTTGCGGATTAAAGATGACCACTCTTTCCAGCCACCTTTCCGAGGCCTTGGCGACCCGACCTGGATCGCCGTCCTGCGCATTCCGAGAGGGCGCTACCGCGTTCACCCCTTTGGGCGCGGACGGTGTATCACAGGGGGATCGACTGGAGTCGGGGGACCAATTTTTTCAGAGAGCGCAGGAGTCACTTCGGAATGGCCTGAAACCCCTCTTGTTAACGACAACAACGATCTTCATGCTGCCTTAGTGGATAAGTTGAAGGCTCACCCCGGCGAGGGTCCGCTCGATTCCTGGCTTCTCACCATACAAGCGATGTACACAAGGGAATAGGACAGATTTGCAGTGAACAAGGCTAAATTGCCCGTTGAACGGCAACGTTACCCCCGCTTGACCAGGGCGGAGCGATTTGGATTACTTTCTTTATTTAAACAGGCTTGCATCTTCGGAAACTAAGTTGGAGAGGCATAAAATCGCACACTCCAACCAGTGATCAGAGACCTCTACGTTACGAAAAAAGGCATTTTTGGAGATCTTCAGCAATCACGTAAGCCGCCTCAAATGGAAGCAAGCGCCTGTATTGGGTCAGTGGGCGGCTAAAGTAAAACAGGGTACTCAGACCGCTACCGGGGGCTCTCCTACTCAATCACGACAAACGGACTCGCGTTTTACGTTCAATCCGGCTAAGTACCAGCCGGACGAGATAGCGAAGCTGACACTTGTTTACGAAGCTTCATACAAAGGAGCTTTTGGTTCGGTTTTCCGTGATGGTTCCGACGATGAGTGGAGAATAATCGAGGGCCTAGCGGAGGGATCTATAGCGTGCCGAACACTTCCGTCCTTCGTGCAGTGTATCATGGGCAGTTCCGAACGCATTCTGCTATTCAACACGATACACGCACAGGTGGAGGGAGAGCTGGTAATGACGTTACAACGTCATCATCATATTCGAGTCACTGAGCAAAGTACATACGCGACGATATTTGAATCGGCTGAATTGGTGCGAGTCAACTTGTCAGCGCTTCATGCGCTGATAATCCAGACTAAACAGATTGCCTACGACAGAGTGACAAAGTCAATTCATTTCTTTTTGCTTACTATAGAAACGGCAATGAATCATCAACGTGTGGCGATTCCGTATCGGGGCGAAAGCTATTCCCTCACTAATCCTCATCGGCCCCACCAAGGCACAGTTTTGGGACCGTCAGCGCGGCCGGGGTGGGGAACAACTGCGGCGGCAGGCGGAGTATACGGTCTATATACGCAATTTGACCCGGTTTCATGACATCGGGAAGCTTATGACTTTCTTTCGAAACAAAATTCCGACCCCATTCGAGGTGGAAGATATGGACACGTGCACACCGGCATCCAGAACGTCGACGGTGTGGAAACTGACTTTTCAGTTAGCAGGGTGCTCTTTTTTCCTACAAGGAGTGGTCAGAATCATGTGGTTTGGGGCCATCTTAATTGTTTCTCATTCAAACGTTGTACGCTCTCCAATGCGGTAACATTGGACACCCAATTACGCGTTTCAGTTTCTCTGACGCTCAACTACGGGGGCTTGAGGCCATAGTCGTTGCGGAACAGAATATCGCCGATCTAAGCGACACCGCACGTCCTTTCGCGAGCCTTCAAGAACTTAGGGACACGGTGCGCGTCCGTATTGCCGACCGCCGCCTGGCACAGGCGTCCCCAGCACATTGGACACTCAGGCGTCTGCTTCTCCACCACTTTCAGGCCTGCATGACTCCAATCGAGAGCAGCAGTGAAACCGATGGATCGGGAAAAGGGCATATTACCGCCCGGCGTTGATGTACAACCAAGACCCAGGGAGTTACAGCCGTGGATTACCCACAGAGCACAAAGGACGATCTCTCCAGAGACGCGGGACGATCTCTCCAGAGATGCGCCTTAAAACCTTCGCCAAGCATTGGACCTCGGATCGAAATCAGCGCGGCTACCGGCGAACACCCAACACCGACATTCCAAACGGCCCCATCACCCGCAGCGCCAAGCAGTTCGAGTGTTTCTAGCGTCGCAACCGGGGACACGGTCTCTCTGGCGCAGCCGCGCCTCTCTTCAGCTGAGGAGCAAATTTATGTGACAAGTCTGGCGCGAGGACAGCCTCCACAAGTCCAAGGGCATCTTCTGCTTAGTCGTCGGACGAAATCTAGGGCTAAGATTTCAAAATTGATGCAGGCAAGCCGCGTCGGCCCCTCGAAAGTGGTGTCTTCGGGACCATGCTAACTCAAGTGCCTTAGACGTTTGCAACGGCAATGGATAGCTTAGGGCTGCGGAAGGTAGTAACGTCGGCTTCCGGCAATTGCCTTGCCATAGCAATCGTGCAAGGAGCAACTGGTAAATACCTTGCAGAGCCAACGTCGAAGCTTGGACAGCTCACGGCAACCCTCAAAACCGGGATCAAGGAGGTTGGACTCTTGAATTTAGGAGACCGCATACCGCATGACAGCTCACGGCAACCCTCAAAACCGGGGTCAAGGAGGTTGGACTCTTGAATTTAGGAGACCGCATACCGCATGACATTCGGGTCGCGATGCTTCAAATCCTGCTTGGAAAACCACGACGCGGCGGGAATCTCTTGGCCAACTCAAATGGTTTTCGAGGACTACGCGTCCAGTCCTTCCGAACGGAAAGCGGTTGTCGCAGACAATACGTGGGGAGGTAATGGCGTCATTGGACTAGCGGCAATGTTACTACGTCAGAACATTTACGTGCTCGAATCAGAGGATACGCGTGCCAACCCCTAGAGCTATCGGCAGTTTGAGTCAGCAGTGCTATCCATCAGAGCGAAAGTATCGCTTCGTTCACCAAGAGACCGTTGGACATCTTACAATGCCTCGATGCCATCAGGGCGGATACCATCGACGCTTCAGCTCCTTCAATTGTCCTTCGGTACTGAGGTCGGCATTACTCGGCTGCCGTTCGTCGACTGACAACATTGGAGGAACGAACATTTCATCACGATGCCACCATGCTCGAGGAACCGGCTCAGCAGGTTGCAGAAGACCCACTGCACGCACTTTCCTGATTGGTGACCTCGCCACGCTTCGAGATGGATCAAAGCAGCTATTGCTGCTTGACAGTAACGCGGCCAACGCCACGATAAAACTACTATCATCACTTCTGACACCTCACGCACACCAGCAGACTACGAGACGCCGCCTCCTATACTCTGCGCCGCTGACGTTCGCTTTCAGGATACAGTGGCCTTGAAAAACATTCATACCGGGGCTTTGCTTAAAAAAGTGAAACCGGAGAAGTACGCTCTTGTTAAATATCTTAACTGTGAGGATGAACTAATGGGCGACTCTGCTCAGCATTGGGACGTCGAATGGAATAGCAGAAGAGTCCGATGGCCGACGACGGCAAGCGTCCAATGTCCATTAGTGGAAAAACGGAACCGCTATCTGGGCAGCGGCGGAACCGCAAGTTTTACTTAATCAGTTCAATTCTTCAGGTTCCCCCGGTAAACTCATCAACTCTCTCGCAGACTCTGTCATCGTACAGTGGACAGAGACATGGCGGAGGGATTGTCTGCAGGAATGCATAGCGCGTTACAGGAGCAAGTGTACGTCATAAGTGACGCAGGCCTGGCTGGATCATTGGATGCAACAGATCAGTATTTTAAGGGCGGAAGGTCGCCGGTAATCTTGGCAATAACACCGACTTTTGGAAACGCAACCGTGTCAAGAAATATGGGAATGACGATCTATTTCGGCTGTGCGATCCAATTCGGCGGGTAAAATTGAGTCATCATATTTTGTGCGCTCATGTCGAAATTGGAGAGCTTTTATCGATGACTAACCCGGGGGCTAGCTCCCGGCCAGTCATGGAGGCCCATATCAGCCTTCAACGGGATGCGCACTATAAATCCTGTTACAATGGGGGGCAAGACACAGGCTGATTGGGTCAGTATTGCGCTTTTTTTTGAATTTGCCTTCGAGAAACCAATGATTATCGACGGCGCTGACTACAATGGGCAGCCCTAAGATCACGGCTCGGTCATCGCTTCCAACTGCAAGCGAGGATAGAGCCGAGGCGTACGGTTTACACATGCAAGATAGACTGATGCTCCACAGACCTTAATCGCGCTCTCGGTGGGACTTGTCACCAGCTACGACCCAAAAGATACTTACGCAGAATGTACGCGGTATTTCTGCAAATCGCGTCTTATATGGTTGGCACCGATAACGGAATGCGCCACGTAGGACGCGACCGGATAATTTTGTCTGCAAGAAACCCACGTCGTCTTTCAGGAGAGAGCGGAGGCATTAGATCGTGAGTGGAGACGGCTTTGGGGACAATTTACGGTCGTATCTGCGTTACCTCTTTCTTACTGGAGTTTAGGGACGCGCAACGCCGGCGAAGTGGCAATTCTTTTAACATCGGAATGGCCAGTCGGCACAACCATGGCCTGACCTCCTGACCACGCCAAGGCAAATTTCGTTATCTGTTTTAGGGCTTGTTAACATTTACGCACCCAACGTACGGGCGGAAAGAGATTTTTTTCGAGGGGCTGGAAGAGCTGCAGCGGTCCCCCTCCTTAGTCATTATAACCGGAGATTTTAACTGCGTCCAACATCTCTCGCTCGACCGGCTGGGAATACGCTCGGCTAGTCGCACTGAAAGTCCAGCTTTGGATTTCTTCACCGACATGTGTCAGCTAGTCGACGCGCTGGATTTAGTTTCTCACCCGGGCTACGACCTGGAGTGGGAGCCATCAACCCACTTCACGTATTGGGCG